AGAGAGAGAGAGAGAGAGAGAGAGAGAGAGAGAGAGAGAGAGAGAGAGATAGACGTTAAAATATTACAAAGAAGTAAATATTTTTAAATGTTGATCACATATATACTTTTTTCATTTGATGGCGATTCATATTCAGGTATGGAATCCTCGCTGGTTTCCTGTTCTTCCTCGCTTGAATCACTACAATAATCATCTGTAAAACATTTTCAATAACAAAATAACGCATGAGAAAATAATTAATAATTATTAAGAATTAAATTATTACACACAATATCAAGTAAAAAGTTTTATACCATTCTTTTTTGAGGTGCGATATGTACTTTTTTTCTTTCTCATTCCACGGCCTAAATCAACTTCTGATTCAGTAGTGCTCTTTTCCATTAATCTCTTCTCTTTATTTAAAGCTTCATCATACGAATCTAAAAAAATGACCAATATATATATATATATATATATATATATATACATATATAATATATATATGTATGTGTGTATATTATATATACGCATGTACATATATAAATGAGCACTCCTAATTTACGTCTAATATTTAGATAATATAAAAATATTCCTCATAGATAGTGAAAAAGAGTTCTCTGTCTTATATACATATTGACACACATATATATATATATATATATATATATATATGATAATCTATAATATTTATTACATATATATTTATTTTTCCTTGTAAGACATGTTTTCTACATATATTGTGTGTATGTATGTGTGTTCTGTTTATTAATATTATTAATTGTAAGTACTTACCATATTTAGCAACAACAGTAACAGGGTGAAGGGCCCAATCTTTGTATGGTTCTTTGCGTTTAATAATGCAATTGCGCACATCTTTTTTTGGCCATAAAGTGTATTTTTCATCTTGTTGTAACCAGAAAGTTGGAATTACGGAATATGTTTCATCATCATCGTTTTCAGCAATGAATTTAACAACTGAATATATTAAATCTTGCTGTAGGAAGTACACATTTCTTTGAAAGTTTACTCAATGCATGGTTAACAAGTAATTGCTTGTATACTACAATTACATTGAGATTGAGACAATTACTTTAGAAAACCAGAGAACTGTAATGCTAAATTAATGTATATAGGATATGTGTATGTGTGTGTGTGTGTGTGTGTGTAAGGTATTGATAAATAAAAATATATGAGTATAAATATATTTAATAATTAATATTTGTATACTATTATTAGTACCATATAGTAGAAAAAATTATATTATAACATTAAAGAACATAAATATATTATATAAATAATTTATCATATAGTGAATGTAAATATCAATTATAGTGTAAGATTGGAATTACTGCATATTTATCATCATATGGTAGAATTAAACATTTTGCTTTAATATCTTTATAATTAAACGTTGATGTATTTGAAACTTCATGTATATCAATGACTTTGATAGCTAAGCTAAATGAAGCAGGTTTGTTTGTAAAGTTAGATACATTATGAAGAATTCTTCCACTTATTTTAATATTATTATTCTCACATCCATAAATGCTTGAAATTAGCATGTAAGTAGAATTTTTTAAAAGTACACAATTATTTCTTTGGCATAAAGATATCGTGAGATTTTCATGAGTAAATTTTCTGTAGTATTTATAAGTTTTACCATTTTCATCACATACTCTAGATTTATCCTCTTCATACAAAGTGCAAAGCGATGAATTTAAACATTTTTTTTCGACATATGGTACATAAGTCCTTTCTTCACAAATTCTGTTATATATTTGTTGTAAAGGGTATCGTGAATTTTTTACATTTTTTTTAATTTTACCTAAATAATTTTCGAATTGAAATGCACTAAAATTGTCAAGTTTTCCAAATAATAATACATCATCACAAAGATGCAAGAGATTGTGAACGTTATATGTAATATATTCATCACCATATAGTTTTTTGTATTTTATAACAAAATACCTAATTAAAGATTTCGCATATGTATTAAGCCTGATACATTCCGATGAACATAAAATTCTTATAGCAACATGTAAGCATAAAAAATGTTTATATTGTGCTTTAGATATATTTCCTTTTAATGCAATAGGACCTGTATACAACAAAAATTGTCTAAATTCTGTCGCTTTCCAATGGTCTACATCTTCTAAAGGTCTTGGTAAACGAGGAAACTCTTGACACATGTATTTCCTGAAAATCATCATTTTCCTTGATATTGCATTTATATTGCTATCTTTCAATTTAAATCTTCCTTTCTTTCCAATCCAAAACTGTATAAGTTTCTTCATTATACCAAGGCATACCAGATGCATATAATCAAGTAGTACATTACTGACTAAACCAATACCGATTTTGTTAAAAGGAGTGAAATCTTTGTGATGTTCCTGCTGTAATTGCAATGCGAAGTTTTCATTTGTCCTTAACATAGCATTAAGTTCTGGAAATGTCATTTTGCCCCTCACATGCATATTTACCCTTTTGTGTACATTTATTACAACCAAAATATCCTGTGTGAGATTTAATCGAAAGAACAAATGCCGTAGCAGGTGCATCACAAATAATTTTTTTTAATTTCACTCCGATTAATTTTTTATTTATTAAAATACCATCTTTTTTTAATAACAAATATTCTTCCACAAATGCATCCAGAAATTGTGTCACTGATTTTGGTTTACTCATTCCATGATAAATACCTACTATAAAGGGTTCTGAAACTTCCATAAGATCTATTGACATTAAAATAGGCCAAAATTGACTATTTGACGATTTACTTAATGGTAAACCATCTATATTAATTGTTAAAGGGAGGATATCTACATTTTTTGTTAGTGTATTCTGTTTTAATTTATGATTTATACCTTCTTTAATGCCAATATGTATATATGCACCCGGTGGAATATCTACAATATTATTGCAATATAAAGGAGTTTTTAGTAATGTCCTGCAATCTTTTGGAACAGATAGATTTTCTGATCTCATTAAAAACAATAGTCTGTTTGCAGAATTATGTGAGATATTGTCAGTAATAATCCAATGAGCTAATTTGTTCGCTAAAGTATTTTCTTTTTGTGATTGAAATGTTTCATTATCAGCATAATCAGCTAAAGTGATTTCTTTATGTGATTGAAATGTTTCATTATCAGCATAATCAGCTAAAGTGATTTCTTTATGTGATTGAAATGTTTCATTATTAGCATTATATCTAGATTCTAACGATAAAGCATTTCCATGGAAATCATTATTACTGCAATTATCAGCATTACTATCTGTATCTTTCAAATTATAGGCAATTGAAATATTTTCAAGTGTTCTAAAAGTAGTGTTCTGTGTGCTATTAATGCTTTGCAGTTCTTTGGTCTTATTATACTCATTTAATATAATTCTACGAAAATGTCTACTTGTAACCTTTGATAAATCTTTCTTCTTCCTTTGCGGTATCTACAAATAACAAAAAATATGCTTAAGTGAATAATATATACAGCTAAAAAATTAAAGTAAAAGTAAAAGTGGTAAACGAATATTTGTGTTTTTTGGCTCGTATTGTTAGGCCATATCTAACATTACATTTCAAACGGTTTTTCTTTAAGAACCCAAGCTTTTCATTGTAAAATATTTTTTATTAAAAAATATCTTATTTACATGTTGAAATAAATAATAAAAAAATGGAAGGAAACAAGCAGAAAATATTATTAACAATTATAGTAGTGCAAATTTTTATTTTTATGCTAATTAATTCTGAATCTTTATAGTACTGAGTACTTAAAAAAATTTTGGGATTTACTGTGGGCCGTCAGCTCTGTTACCATATAGGTTACGGTCAACGTGACGCTACAAATGCTTTGGAAAGAAAGAGAAGAGGAATGCTTCGAAGCATTTGTAGCGTCACGTTGACCGTAGCCTTAGTTAGGCTATTGTATGGCACGTATCTCGAGTACTTAATAAATATAGGTTAACGTTCATCAATTTATTAAATTTATTTATTCAGACTTACTTGCGTTGACTATATATAATAATAATTGTATAAAAAGTAATTATAATGTAGTATATATAGGAATATATGTATATAAACACATACCTCATTAGATAATTGGCTCGAACTGGGACTACTAATAACATTTCTGTTCTTACTGCTGTTAACTGGGTTACAGCTGCGCTTCATTATGAAGAAGTGTGTTCACGTTTTATACTAATTATTATAAATTATTATTAGTATTCACCACTAACAATCGTTAAACTTCTGAGCTCTAGCTCTATTTGCCTCGGATTGATATAATCGTGGCTCGACTGCACACACACAGAACGCGGGAACGTTCGCCACGCGGCAAGAAGCGACATGTGCAGTATAGCCAATCTAGCTACGTGCCGCTCTTCCGCATTGACCAAAGTTGATTGGCTAACGCGCGTCGTTTCCTGCGGCGCGACAAGCGTTTCCGCGTCCTGTGTGCAGGAGCCATCTCTACACGGAGATGGAGA